AAGTGTGTATTCTCTTGTGGTCTGTCCGAACAGCTAAAAGATGAATAAGCTGCTCGTGACGAACCCTCCTCACTCGAGGAGCTAATCGTGTTAGCCATACGGTTAGACAATTGCCTCAGGGAGAGACGAAGGGAAAAGAAATTAAATTCTCCTACCCATAGCGTAGACTCCCCATCCTCTGTCGCGGTCAGCAGGTCTCCTCTGCAGCCCTCCATTAATCTGGATCCGGCGCCCTCTGCCAGGAACCCATCCAAATCGGCCACACCAAATTACACCCCAGGGAACGGCAATGACGGATAGATCAGAAGCTCTGTGTCTATTGTGGCCAGGCTGGCCACTTTCTGCCCAACTGTCCTAACAAGTTAAATGGCCAGGCTCATCAGTGACAGAGAGCACCCTGAAGAGCCACACCTTCTCTGTCCCCAGCTCTCCCAGACGTATCTCTGTACATGCTTGCCTCCTGTTGGGGAAAGAATCTACGTCTCTCCAAACCCTGATTGGGGTGGACGACAACTTCATTCACGCCGGACTGGCAGCGCGGCTTCAGCTCCCCCTGCAGGTACTACTGGGTTCCCTGTAAGGTCACTGCTCTCGATGGCAGGGTTATGGCTACCATAACCCACTGCACTACTCCTCTCACCCCCATCCTTTCAGGAAACCATTGGGAGGACATCCGGTTGTTCCTGCTCCCCTCTCCGCATTCACCCATAGTGCTTGGACTCCCATGGCTGCAGATCCACAATCCCCAAATTAACTGGTCCACCGCTTCGATCTCTGCCTGGAGTCCTCACTGCCATTCTCACTGCCTCCGCTTCGCCAATCCCTTCATCCACTGACAGAGGTCAGCACCGCCACTACCATCTCTCGTCTCGGTCCCCCCTGTTTACCATGATCTGGCCATGGTAAACAATCTCTCGTCCTTCCTCCTCGTCGCCCCTATGACTGTGACATAGATTTGCTCCCTGGCGCCCCTCTCCCCAGCAGCAGACTGTACAATCTCTCTCGGCCCAAACAAGAAGCCATGGACGAATACATCCAGGATTCTCTGACATCTGGACTCATCCGGCCCTCATCCAATCCACTTGCTGCTGTTTTTTTCTTTGTGAAAAAGAAAGATTCCTCTCTCCATCTCTGCATCGACTTCCACGGACTCAACGAAATCACCGTAAAAAACAGATATCCCCTGCCACTGATCTATTCCTCCATTGAACCTCTCTGCAATGCCGCCATCTTCTTTAAACTGGATCTCAGTAATGCCTATCACCTGGTTCGCATCAGAGAGAGCGAAAAAGTGGAAGACGGCCTTCAATACACCCATGGGTCACTTTGAGTACCTCGTCATGCCCTTTGGCCTCACCAATGCCCCGGCTGTGTTCCAGGCTCTCATTAATGACGTCCTCCACCACATGATCAACATATTCGCCTTCGTTTATCTGGATGACATTCTGATTGATTCTCCTTGAAAACCGTCTCTTCGTCAAACCTGAGAAGTGCGAGTTCCATGCCTCCTTCGTCAGCTTCCTGGGATACATCATCGCCCAGGGGGAGCTACGCCTAGACCCGGAGAAAGTCTGCGCCGTCCGTGACTGGCCCACTCCCTCCTCCCGCAAAAACCTCCAGCGATTCCTCGGTTCGCTGGTCCCTCTTCCTCAGCAGATTCTGCTTCATCCTCTCCTATCGTCCCGGCTCCGGCAACCTCAAACCTGACGCCCTATCTCAGATCCACTCCTTGGCTACCTCAGACCCCAGAGAACCAGACACCATCCTCCCTGCCTCCTGTATCCTCGGCTCTGCCTCTTAGGAGATCGACACCGTGGTGGACAAGGCCCTCCGCACTATGATATGTGTTTTTCATAGTAAGGGTACTTGGAGATAACAGCCTACTTCAAGTTTAAGTTAATTTGATTATGTAAGTCTGGCAATAGCATTTGATATTTAGAGTAAATCAATGTGTGAGAGGAATCAAGAGACAACCTGTTTTCAGTTCACCACTTTACCACAACAGCAGCCCATGTTTTTGGGCTCTTTTTCATGCTTCTGCAACCTTTGAGAGTAAAAGAAAATGATAAGAGTCAACTCCCATAGAACTTTCTTTAGATTAGATTAGATTAGATTAGATTAGGTTAGGTTAGATTAGACACAACTTTCATGCATGTTACACAGTACCTCCCTGTCATATTTCGGTCATATAAAATTATTACACGGAAAGTATGAAATAAAAACAGCTCCCTGAATCATCTCATGAAACGTCTTGGGCCCACAGGTGACCGCAATTGTTAAGATGCTTCTTAAATGCCAGTGTGACACACCTCCACTTGAGAGCATGACCAGAGTGGTCTGCATGTCTTATCTGATATTTTTGAATAAAAAAACATGAACCCCAACTTTGGTTGGGATGGCCAGTAGCTGTCATTAAATGAGGGGATTGGAGAACAGTATCATTCAAGTTTGAGTGCCTCCGTGTATAATCATCAATCGGGTCTCAAAATGACTGTAAAATTAGGCAGACTGTCTATTAGGCGATGGTTGGGGGTGATTTTCTGTGTGTGCGTGGGAGTGAAAGCTACACGTGATGGCCTGTGTGGTAGTGACTTATAATTGCAGCATGCTTCCTGCTCAACATTATGCAACCCTTTCAGATATGCTAATCTTCTGTCTTGTTGCTTTTCCTACCCTCAGGTATTTTTTATTCTATTTCATGCCTGAGCCTATTTTTGTGCAAAACTGGGCTCAAATTATTTTGTGAAAATTGGGCTGCTGCTGCAGTGTCAGGAGGCCAGTGTAGTGTAAAAGCAGACTGTGGATTTTGGATAAGAGTGAGATCCTCGAGTGACAAATGGCTGTTCTATCTCCAGTTATGCAGCCCCTTAACCTGCCCCTGTCAGAGAATCACAGGCTTCCAGCAAATGAGGAGCTAAAGTGAACTTACTGCTGTGCTTCAAAGGTCCTGCTCCAAACAAGTAAGTCCCTAACAAAGTTCCTTTACCATGCCCACTGTAGTAGGATTAAATGTGCAAAGTTATATATTTGTGGTCGGAATGTGTACAATCCTACCAGTTTGAGTCTGACCCAGAGGGAGAGGCTCCGGAAGAAACTCTTAGCCGCGTTCAGACCAAACGCGACTTGAAGCGACCTAGTCGACACATCCTATGTATTATTCAAAGCCGCCAGGGGTCACGCTTAAGGAAGATATGAATGTAGAAAAAATTAATAACAGAGCTCTGCTACAATGTAAGATTTTGGTGCTCTAAAACTTCTCTGAAGCCTTTGCTACTTAATAGGATGGCCGATTGTCCAGCATCAGCCGGGATGTCCCGTATTTGAGCCAAAAGAGGCGCGTCACAAATGCTAAAGCTACATGCTGAAACGTTCACACTTACAGATGCCACGTTTGTAGTAGGATCACGGATAGTTGGTACCGATCCATCCTTTATCTTCAGACATCTAGCAAATCCAGCGTTGAACTGTCCCTCGTTGATAAAACAGTCCGGAGTGAAATGGTGTGCACATACATAGAGATATTTTGGAAGTGCTGCGGGTACATTCCCATTATAAATAAAATCCACCCATTGAGTCCTCAAATCCTCAGACGAGGGAGTTTTCAAAAGAGTTTTGTGCTGGTTTGTGCAGCCAACAACAGAGAAAACGCTGCCTCTTTTTCAGATCGTACTTTCGCCACGGTTCTAACCGGAGCAATGTGAGCGAGCGGCCGGGAATAATGCCGCTGTTTTGATAATTTTGTGGGCAGGGCAGTGGGCGGCTCCATGGGCAGTACCATCAACCCGCCAGCACTGACATGACGTCATGTCAGTGGAGTTTTCAGAACGGCCGGCTCTGAGCACACAGTTCCTAAATACAGAGATAATTAAAAAATGACTGGATGGAATTTTTTCAAACTTTTTGGATTGTAGCGGTTTTCTATCCCTGATATGCACCCCCGTCCCGTTAACAAAGTCAGTTTTTCATGCCATGGCCCCTTTAAAGACTTAGCGATTAAAGTTGTGAACTTTGGAGAATAAAGTCATAAAGTAAATAAAGTCATAAAGCTGCTTTGGTGGCGGGGAAATGACTGGAGCTGGTCATCTGCAGGGTTATCGGTGGATACATCAGTGGGTCATTCAGAGAGTTTTTGTGGTTTCTGATGAACTGATGATCAACATTTGTGATCCAGAGGGAGTCGAGCTCCGACGAGCACGTCTCTGACACCGGCAGTAACCTACACCTGCAGAGACACCAATGCCTTATGGCAATTGGAGTCATATCATAAAGCTCAATGTCATTCACGGATATTTATGGCTGCATTAACAGATTTATCCTCAGCATATCTACATCTGCCTCCACAAAAGCAGCGATTTCCTCCAAGTACACCTGTTTTTTTTCCAGTGGAAAAGACGTATTTCTCATATATTCTTGTTTAAGTCTTTATACTTGTGACAATGTGATGCTGATGTGCCAAAGGATGAAGTATACTGAAGCACAGTTCCTTCAAATGCTCGATGGCCCTAATTTTAACATCTCCCCTTTGAAATAACAGGTAACCTTATGACTTTATTCTCATAAATTAATGACTTTATTCACGTAAATTCAAGACTTAAATCCCAAAGTCTTTAAAAAAATTCCCTATATGGCCCTCATACTCCTTCATACAAAACATGCAATCATTGGATGAATTTTTTGGAAATGATCTGTGCTTGTATGTATCTACTGTTTTGTGTCTGTGCGAGGTCGCACAATTACCTGATTCTTCAAGTCAGTCGTGACATGAGCCTGAGGGTGGGGACATTTGGCGACTCAACCAGAAAGTCCTCTGAAGGGTAATGTGTCCCATTTCACAAAAACTGGATCATCTCACTCAGGGTACTCCAGCCCACATAACGGCAGTGCGCTCAGCTAAGCGTGCTTAAGCGCGCTTATCCTGATGCGGTCTCTGAAATGAGACACAGCCAAAGACTTTGCCTGACAGACATCGCTTGAGGTGTCTTGCATCTCAAGAGCAGACAATGTCGACTCCAACCACTCAGGAGACTTCTCAGAAGAAGGCCATGAATAAGCTCAAGACGGGCAAATCGCCGGGCAGTGACAACATCCACCCAGAGTTTGTCATCCACCAGAGCACAGCAACATCTTGCTGGCTATGTGCTTTTTTCACATCGTGCTACGGGAAGTTAAAGCTCCCAAAGACCTGGCGCAGTGCCTTCCTCATTGCTCTGCCCAAGCCAAATAGACCTGCGGAAGACCCCAAATCATACCGACCCATCTCAATGCTCTGTGTTCCACTTAAAATCTTGGAGAGGATGACACATAGCCGCAATGAGCCAGTGGTTGACTCACAGCACCCAAACTGGTTTCCGACGTGGAAGATCAACAGAAGACCAGGTATCACTACTCGCTCAGGACATCGAGGACAGCTTCCAGGACAACAAGAAAGCTGGGGTAGTGTACCTGGACCTGACTGCTGCATATGATACCATGTGGCACTGTGGTCTCCATCTGAACTGTTGAAGACAATTTCAGACCGGCACATGGTGAAGTTCATCATGGAGACACTGTCCAATCACAGCTTTGTCCTCCAGACCAGCAGTGGCCAGCGAGTAGGCTCAGAAGACTGAGGAACAGGGTTCTGCAGGGGTCAGTTCTCTCACTGATGCTGTTCAACATCTACATACAGTGCATCCGGAAAGTATTTATACCACTTCACTTTTTCCACATTTTGTTATGTTACAGCCTTATTCCAAAATGGATTAAATTCCCTTTTTCCCTCAAAAATTCTACACAAAATACCCCATAATGACAAAGCAAAAAACTTTTTAGAACATTTTGCAAATTTATTAAAAATAAGAACATTCAAATGTTGCATATACATAAGTATTCATACCCTTTACTCAATACTTGGTCGAAGCACCTTTGGAAGCGATTACAGCCTCCAGTCATCTTGTGTATGATGCAACAAGCTTGGCACACCTGGATTTGGGGAGTTTTTTTCCATTCTTCCTTGCACATCCTCTCAAGCTCAGTGAGGTTGGATGGGCAGCATCAGTGCACAGCTACTTTCAGGTCTTTCCAAAGATGTTCAATCAGGTTCAAGTCTGGGCTCTGGCTGGGCCATGCAAGGACATTCAGAGACTTGTCCTGAAGCCCCTCCTTTGTCTTCTTAGCTGTGTGCTTAGGGTCATTGTCATGCTGGAAGATGAAGCGTCGCCCCAGTCGAAGGTCTCGAGCGCTCTGGAGCAGGTTTTCATCAAGGATTTCGATGTACTTAGCTGCCTTTATTTTTCCCTTGATCCTGACAAGTCTCCCAGTTCCTGCCGCTGAAAAACATCCCCACAGCATGATGCTGCCACCACCATGCTTCACTGTAGGGATGGTATTGGTGAGGTGGTAAGCGGTGCCTGGTTTCCTCCAGACATGACGCTTGGCATTCAGGCCAAAGAGTTCGATCTTTGTTTCATCAGACCAAAGAATTTTGTTTCTCCTGGTCTGTGAGTCCTTTAGGTGCCTTCTAGAAAAGTCCAAGCGTGCTGTCATATGCTTTTTACTGAGGAGCGGCTTCTGTCTGGCCACTCTACCATAAATGCTTGACTGGTGGAGTGCTGAATGGTGGTCCTTCTGTAGGGTTCTCCCATCTCCTCAGAGGAATGCTGGAGCTCTGTCAGAGTGACCATTGGGTTCTTGGTCACCTCCCTGACCAAGGCCCTTCTCCCTGGCTTGCTCATTTTGGCTGGGCAGCCAGCTCTAGGAAGAGTCCTGGTGGTTCCAAACGTCTTCCATTTCTTAATGATGGAGACCACTGTGCTTTTTGGGATCTTCAATGCAGCAGATATTTTGCTGTAACCTTCCCCAGATCTGTGCACCGATACAACCCTGTTTCGGAGGTCTACAGACAATTCTTTCGACTTCATGGCTTGGTTTGTGCTCTGACGTGCTCTGTCAGCTGTGGGATCTTATATAGACAGGTGTGGCTTTCCAAATCATGTCCAATCAGCTGATTTTGCCACAGGTGGACTGCAATCAAGTTAGAGGAACATTTCAAGGCTGATCAGTGGAAACAGGACACACCTGAGCTCAATTTTGAGTTTTATAGCAAAGGGTGTGAATGCTTATGTACATGCAACATTTGAGTGTCTTATTTTTGATAAATTTGCAAAATGTTCTAAAAAAAGTTTTTCGCTTTGACATATACTGTATATGACATTCCTGCCACCACCATAGGAATGTCATATATGTGCATATATATATATATATATATATATATATATATATATATATGATATTCCTATGGTAGTGGCAGTGGGGGGGAAAGTGGACCTGACTTCCTAGGGCCTGAGTAGGGAGAGGGGCCCATGAAAATCCAGATTTATATATATATATATATATATATATATACTACAGGCCAAAAGTTTGGAAGCAAGATCAGATTTGCACAAAAAAAAATCATAGTTTCATATATATAATTTGCAACACAATAAACATGACTATTGTGTAAAGAGTAACTTATCAGAAGACATTATGACTATAATTGTTAAGTATTTGAGTTATTGTGGCTTAGACTTTGCTTTCTATAAAGTAACCTCCTCTGGCTTTAACAGCAGCTTGGCATATACCAGGCATTCGTTCCACAAGTTTTTTATGGTATGTTCCAGAGATTGCATTCCAAGCTTTCTTAAGTTCATTAAAAAGAGACTGCTGATTCGTGGGATGCATTTTTCTGACCGATCGATCCAATTCCTCCCGCACAAGCTCAATTGGAGAAAGAGCATAGACTGTATATAGAATGGACAGAGTCTGCCTCCTTGCTGGGTGAAGCCACTCCGAGAACAGCACCCTCTGTTGATGGGCTGCAGTATAGGTAATAAATCCCGCCTCCGCCAGCAAAGCTTATGGAGCTGTGGACAAACTTTAGAAATTTATTACACAGAACATACATTTTTCTCCCCCCTGCTTGTGATGTTGACATGTAGTTATTGTAAGACTGGTTTGTGCGCAAGTCCTCTTTTTTCTGTGAAGCTCCGTTTTAAAAGTTATTAGGGGGTTCATGTTTGCTATGATTGACACCTGATACAGCCTATGGGCATTCAGGGATTGCGTAGTTCTCCAGGGTGATACGCTGTTTGAGCCGAGCATCATCACAGCGATTGCGTGGCCGAATGCGCACATTGCTACTGCGCAGGGCTGGTTTCAGGAAATAAAGAAAAATCCCAGAAATACTGAGAGCTATTTGGCTTCAAATCCGTATACAGGCGGTAGGTGGAACCAAGTTGTCCATAGTATATACAGTCTATGGTCTGGAGAGGGGGCCAAACCATCTTTTGAAGGACACCTTCCTGTTCTTTTTTGTTAGGTAACCCTGACAGAGCTTGGCAGAGTGCCTAGGGTCATTGTCTTGCTGCAAAACAAACTTATGAGCCACTTAAGTCTTAGTCCAGATGGAGCAGCATGGTGCTGGAGGATGGAGTGGTACTGTTCCTTCTTCATGATACCCTTTACGTCAAAAAACTCTCCTACACCATCACCTGCAAAACATCCCTATACCATGGAACTACCACCTTCATGCTGAATTGTGGGTGTAACACATGGTGCTTTCAGACGTTCACCAGTTTGTCTGCGGACATAGACTCTGCATTTTGAACCAAACAGTACAAACTTGTTTCTAGTTATCATGAGTCCAATTTTTGTGAGCTTTTGCCCACTCATGTCTCTTTTTCTTGTTCTGTGGACGAAGAAGTGTTTTTTTTTTTGCAGATACACAACCCTTCAGACCAGCCTTTCCAAACGTCATTTCACAGTTGTCAGAGATATGAGTTTCGACCTTGTCATGTTGATTTCCTCCCTTATTTGTGGTGCTGTCTTTCGCCAATCTCTCTTACTGGTGACAATAATATGTTTATCCTCTGCTTTTGTAGTAACTCTCTTTCATCCAGGTCTTTTTCTATCATCATAACTTCCAGGTTCCTCTAGTCTCTTCAGAGTGTAGTGGACTCTTTTGTTAAACACCTTTCGGCGTTTTGCAATCTCTCTTTCTGTGTATCCTTCTTTCCTCAATGTACAAATCTGTACTTTTGTTTCTTTACTCAGTTGCTTCTTTAGCCATTTTTGCGGTAGTTTGAACGCAGTTGAGATTTATTTGGATTTTTGTATGCAGACTCTCAAAAGCCAAAAAGTTGAAGTGAATAATCCAACTGTGATTTGTTTTTTTGCTTTTGCACTGAAGTTGTAACTCTTGCAAATGTTTTCAACCCTAAAACTAAGCCCTTATTATCTTTTGCTGACATATATTTAGCAATGGTCTGTTAACATCAATGTATATCTAAAGGTAAATGGAGTAAAATGGTGCATTTCCATGAAAGCAACATCAGATCATGGAGTAAATACATCCCAAAATACAAAAAACTCATGCTGGATTTAAAAAAAGGCATTGTGAACAAAATCTTGAAGTTACTCCCAACTGTTCGGCCTGTAATGGCCTTGTTTCCAAACTTATGGCCTGTAGTGTATATATACATACAGTATATACATATATATATACGCAGAAAAGGATCATTAAATTCTCAGTTATATCTAATACAGTCCTTCATATCGTCACTGGCCATTTGCAAATACTTATGCTTATGGCGGTGTTCTTGTAATAAATCAAACATTTGTGAAGCCCTAAAAGAAACATTTTGACAGTGACTCCCTGGTAACTCTGTCTGGTGATTACAGACTTACCATCTTAATTTAGATGAGTCGTACTTGAAATCTGAGTTTACAGCCAGATCAGGAAATTATTCCATCATGCATGCTTTTGGATGTGTTTGCTCTTACTTCTATTATATATAACCCCATATTCCTCACACATACAGTATGTATCTAAAATGGAACATGATTGATATAGTTTGGACTATTTGCAGTAACCCAGCTCACATCATTCAAGTTTCTCCTATAAGATGTCATTTTTGCTGAGTTTGCTGTGCAGGACTGACATAATAATATGAAGACCAAGATATTTATATTTATCATTTAATTCAAGTTGGTCCTGTGTGAAAAACTGAATCTACTTTTCGCTCTACCAGGGTGCTGAAAATGCATAACTTGTATTTTCTTTTGATCAATACAAAGTCTGTTTTTTTAACACCAGTAATATGAGAACAGGAGCTGAACCAGACTCTTGTATTTCTTGCTTGTATATCAGTTGTCTTATGGTGACAAACCCTAAGTTGTTAGAGTCTGACAACATATCTCCAAGTATCAATGAAGTATCAAGCTGTCATGTCACTACTAGACAAGGTCCTCATTGGGATGCACACACAGAAACAATGAAGGGAAGAGAAAGGCCTCTAGCTGTGATGGATTATGTTGAGATGGATGCTGACTGGCCCCTTGAGTCCAAAGCTCGGGTTCAAATCACCGCCCTCTTTGGTGTAAGTGTTAACTGATTGATGCGTGACACATTCAGTCATTTAGGGTGCGTCGCTCTGCTTGACTGAAAGCCGAAATAACCAGGCCATGTCCTGTCCTCTACAGCAAAACACCAACCCAGCAGTTTACTGCAAATTGCATCACTTCAGACACTTTCTCACAGGACAAATGACATACTTGCAAAATAGAGGCATTTTATTTGGCTGTAACAGAGTGTGTGCACACAAGCAAGCAGAACAGTAAGGGTAGGACTGGGAACAAAATTCAGCCAAGGCAATTTCTGTCTGGACCAGCCCATTAAATGTAACACCTGCTGGGAGGTCCTCAGTCCTCAGGAAACCCTGGTGTCAGCCTGCTGCTGCTCATCAGTCCAGAAATTCTCTTCTTTTTGGCTTGAGGGGTTTGCATATGATGCTCATAAGAGCATGCCTTAGCACAGGCGATTTATTGATTGTAAAGTCTTTGTGTAAAACATTTAAAAAAGCTTGCAGTACCCATATCATATCCTTTAATCAATGAAGCTTGTCTCTAACAGGCAGCCAAATCTCTCTGCTCTGATCCATAACAGAGGGGGTTTACTGTCAGACTATGGGATTATGTTTTGAAAGATCATGTTGAGCCCAAATATGATGTCCTATGACAGAAGTGACAATCCATTTCACTGACAACCCATGACAGGAGTTGGAATAAACATTATTATTATTATTATTATTATTATTATTATTATTATTATTATTATTATTATTATTATTATTATTATTATTATTGTTGTTGTTGTTGTTGTTGTTGTTGTTGTTGTTAATAATAATAATAATAATAATGATAATAATATGCACTGCCCCTTTCTAAAATAAATACATTTATCTTTTTTTCACAGCAGCCTACCTTACGTCGAAGTATAAGGGCCACATAAAGAAAAAAAAAAACGAAGACTTCAATAATTTAAGAGAATAACGTCAAGCGAAGTGACTCATATCTCAAATCAAAAGCATTAGCAGAAATGCTTTTTCATTTCAAAGTCATGGCTGCACTATTTGACTCAAAAATAAAAATCAAAAGCAATATTCCAAAATGCAATTTCATTTTCTTCTTCAAGACTGCTCATTTTGTGACTAAATTAAAAAGCAAAAGCAAATCACTTTAACATTTAATTTTCAAAATATTCACCAGCAAAAAGGTAACAAAATTCAATTTGAAATGTCAAATTCGAAAATTCAAAAGCATTAGCAGAAATGCTTTTTCATTTCAAAGTCATGGCTGCACTATTTGACTCAAAAATAAAAATCAAAAGCAATATTCCAAAATGCAATTTCATTTTCTTCTTCTAGACTGCTTATTTTGTTAATAACATATAAAGCAAAAGCAAACTCAGAACTGCTTATTCGTTTTCCGGCTTGCCGTGCAAAAAGCATCTCATAATTCAATCTGAGTTCGCAATCTCAAGTGGCGCAGGAAAGTGACGTCACAAACCCCACTCGTTCTGGCCCCTTCTGGTCGATAGGGGGCAGTGAATCCGTGTGTCATTCGTTCATGAGTAATGATTTTATTACAACTTTATTCTCGTTAGTAATGACTTTATTCTTGTAAGTTAAGGACTTAAATCTCTAAGTCTTATTTATTTATTTTTCTTAATGCAGCCCTTATACTCAGTCGTACTACCTTAGGAGGTGACTTTTAAAATTTTGATTTGAAAAGTATTTCTCCCTTTTTAAAGCATATTTCTGCCTTCTCAGTTTAAAACCTACATGCCTGATGGGCTCAGAGAAAGAGTGTGATTATTTCCAGGTTTTCTGGGGAGTAAGTCTACAGGTGTTGTTGGTTGGTAAGTTAAACGTTGCCACATAAACTTGGGCCCTGCCTCTTTTAGCATCCACTTTGTCTCTGACTGGAAGTTGGACAAATCTCTACAGTCTGTAGAATAAACTCAAACATAAACATGATAAAAAAATAATAAATAAACATAATTTAAAAAAAAAAGATACTAAAATCTTTAGTAAATTATTTATTTCAGATTGAAAGGTGTAAAATAGAACAGGTAACTGTTGGGGACTGTGAAGGGTATGAGATGCATTACACCCAAAACAGCACAATGGAAATGCAATTGTAGACTGTGTGATTTTACCCATCATCTTCTGGGGAGGTGCCATGAAGCCCTGAGATGGTTACTGCATTCAAACATTAACTCCAACCACTCCAAAACTACCAAAGAGCTAAAGTTAGGGTGAGCTTAGCATCCTGAAAAACCTGCACAGTGCACCCACCTGTCAGTCAAATCCTGGTCACTAATGCATCACTCCACTGTGATATAAACCATTGTGTTTAAGACAATTCAACCCCTGCTCAATTTGAATAGAAATGAAGAAGTAAATTAGAAATGAGCGGCTGGGGCCAGTCTACTTTCTAAATTTACCAGTTGATATGTTGAATCCTGCTGTCAAAATGGATATTATAGCATAAGTTTGTAATGGGGTTTCATTGGCTACATGAGCCAGCTTCAAGTGGATGCCAGAAAACCGCAATTATTTCTAACAGCTTCAAGTCAGCAGAGAGAAGAGGTGTGTGGGAAAAAGACTATCCTTAGACTATGTCCTAAGGAGCCAGTTGGACATGATAAATTACAGATGTTAGATGGCTGAAAGCACTTTTAGTTTCCAGCATCATTTATCTGATCTTTCTCTACTAATGACACGGCTGTTTTTGTCCATCCACAAAGACTTATGTTTGCTCCTTTTTTTGAGGGTTCCTTTACAAAAACTTAACAAAATAGTGGGTGAAACATTAAAACACATCGTCCTTTGGCAGCAGGTATGATGGTAAACTCAAAAAGCACAATGTTAGCCCAACCTCGAGGCGCCAGATCGAATAATGCCCATGTTGTTATTGTGAAAGAAAATGACAAACAACCTGCTCTGCTGATAAGGTGAATAAAGGTAAGGTGAAATTAATGTGAACTCTTTTCCTGTTGTGGTCTGAAAAATATTGTTTATCTGAGTTATTACAATATTTTGTATACGAATGTGTTTGTGTGCCAGCCAGGCAGGACCTGGGTCTGTCTGTGTTATTTCCTTTTCTTGTCAACAGGGCTACCAGGAATGAACTCAAACGGCCTCATCATGATTAAGAATATGGAGAGAAGGCAGAGGGGTCAAGAAACTCCTCAATTAAAACAGTGACCAGACAACTAAAGACGGAAAGAATCCACCTCAGTATTTGGTCTTTTTCTGACATGCGTTTGAGCCTTTACACAATCATTTTTAAGTCCTTTTAATTAAAAAAAATAAAAACTGTAGTGTTGTAAATCTGCACTGTTAGTTCAGCCAATCTGAATAAACAAATTGTCAAAAAACTCGGTCAGGTAGCACACTGAACTTACAATAGCCAGCTTACATGACTGAAGCTTATCAAGCTCTTGGCAGCCTGTCCTTCTGACATATAACATAAAATGTAAAAGTCCAATATGTCATAGAGAGCACAAAAACATATCTGTAAGAATCAGTGCTTTAGTTGACTGCTCAAGGACAACCAAGGAAATCTTCAGTTCAAAAACACAACATCTATTTAGGTCACATGAAAAGTTGTACAGCGCTGGACTCGCAATGACAGAGCTCCTAGGATCTCCATCACAACAAGTGCCCATTTCCGGGAGCAATTTACATTTATCTTCTTGGCTAAGGCTGCCTATCATACAGAGGTTGGACTAAATATGCAACTGAGTATCATTGGCCAGTTATCTCTGATGTGAACAGGCCAACCACTGTTCACACGTCTTACTAAAATGTGTGTGTGTTGTTGACCTTGAGGCGTGTGACTCCTGTAGCAAACCTGTCCAACAGAACAAAGGAAGCCTTATAGCACATCAGGTTACTCCTTATCAAGTTAGATGTCATAGTGTTCTGATTAGATGAAAACAACCTGTTAGTAAATGGAAACATTCATTAAATTGCATGAGTTCAGTGGAAAAGTACAAATCTAACATTAGCAAAATAAAACACAATTCAACATGTCTGAGACTGATCTTTAAAAAGATGTAAACACATGTAACCTTGGTGGCTGGTCTATCTGTTAGCATCAGGCCAGTTTTACTCAAAACTGAGCATGTGGGCATTTTAAAACTTTTACAGTGTTACGCAAGTTCTCACTCAAATCCATTAGTTAAAAAAAACTTGACACATATATAACAAACTCGATCAAATTAAGGGTTCTTTTCCCTTCTTTTTGGGATTCATTTTTCTTACACAAATATGTCAAATTAATAGCATATGAGGGTTTTACCAGTCAAAGATGGGAAGAATCAGCAGCTTTAAAAACACATATATATCCGTATTTTGTCAACTGACTCTTCTTCCTGTAATCCAAATGGACCAGAAAAGTCTGCTGAGTGACTGTCGATGTGTGTGAAATGTTGTGATTGATCCATAAATAAAGACACACTCAACAAGCACACCTCACTGAAACCATGCATGTTTTTTCTTCAATCAGAATCCCTCCTGATTCGTTCCTAAAACTGCTTTGAATGTCAGAAAGACCAGGTTTCATCAGTAGTGCTTACTACTTTAGAGAAATCCTGGGTGCCGTAAATCAGACTTAGGGCTCTATTTTCATGCCTGCCGCTGGTGCGGCTGAGGGTGGAGCAGCCCGCGCAGTAGTATTTTTGTCTGGCAAAGTCCAGCGCACTGCCACTTTGGTATTTTGGTAGACTGAGGTGTACCAAGGTCCACAAAGCTAGGTGTGGTGGCGTGGTTAGGAGGAGATGTCGGCAGAATCAGCTGGTGCAGTGACATTTTTGTGCCCGCTGGCGGCATGGAAAGTGCACTGAGAGCTTGCCGATTCAAACCTGGTCAGCTTTCAGCACAGGCGAAGTGCAGCTGGTCTAGTGGTATTCTGGTAGACCAGCGGCATAGTGTGCATATGTCACCAGTGCCCCACCGGCAGGTGTCCACAGTGTCAGGTACATTTCAGTGCAATAAATAACCACCACTGCCAATATTCTGAGTCAGCACATACATTTTAATCTATATAGATATATTCTGATTTATATCTTATCTGATGAGTGAGTTTGGCACGTGTTTGACACTCCATCTGACCAAATTAACACAGCTGAAACTGCATTGATAAATAGTCACATGATGGAGTCAACAAGATATTTAATTTGTCTCCCCCATTTTTCTCTCTCTCTCTTCTTCTTTCTCATGCAGCTTGACCCGGACATGTCTCCTTGTCCTGTCCCCGTCCTGCTGCGGCTGCGGCGGCTGACCAGATGATTTATTTTAGTGATCAAATAAATTATTTACTTAAAAAATAAAATAAACTTTTATTCAAAATAACCTGTTTATCTGATGTTTTCACATCCTTAAAATTCCGTGAATATTCAAGCCGGAGTCAGGCCCACAAACGAATATTATAATATTCAGCTGCGTGAGTCAAGTTAATTTTATATGCCAACATCAATGAAGAGCCTGGCCACAAAGAGTGAAGCGTCCTTTACACACAGGAGGTTCTGATTTTAATGCCATGATTGGAATTTGTTTATGTTGTGATCTGTGCGCACAACCCCCCTTTGTCATGTGGGCTCTAAATATATGCAACTCGATGTGAGTGTCTTTATTTGTGGAAAAGGGTGTTTGTTTTACCATTGGGTACAACCTTACACACACCAAATCCCTCTGAACTTATTTTAGAGCGTGTGGAGAATGCCCTCCGCAGCGCTTATCAAAACACTTGTTAAGGGGTTGCCTTCTGCCGCCAGTGTGTGGCATTGCTGTCTTCAGCCATCTCTTGTTCTCCTTGACTACTTCACAAAACTTGTAATACACCTCGCCAGTGGCGGATTTAAAGGTGAGGAGAGGAGCTGATCTGATTCTTGAGCTGCTTAGTTTGCCATTCACCTAAATATGAGTTCAGTGAGCACAGTCATTTTAGCCCATTCACACACAACATCAATGTAGAGGAATGAGCCTACAGGTATCAGAAAGGTGTGGATGGATCCGGACTAAACTTGAATAAGACAATGACAGCTGATCTCAGACCCCCTGACTTGAAAGTAGAGATTGATCAATGATCTCTTTTTGCTGATAATAAAACTATTACCTTGTGGTTGCATCTCACTTTATAATCAAACACAAGTACAAATGGTGCAGCATGGTGGAGCACTAAGAACAACAAGGGAGCATGCACAGTCGGTTTAGAGGATGATCAATAACCATATATTTTCTGGAGATTTTTCTTTATTTCATTTAGTTTTGAAAAACATAGAGAGGTGGTGTGTATTCTGTGCAGTCCAGGGTAATGTGACTTGACAATCACCACTTGATTGAGGAATGAAAACTTAATTATATAGTAGTGTTCAAGATATCACAGGGTTCATATCCAATAACTTTTTTATAACCACCTTTGTAGTTGTAGACTGAGCACACAAAACACATCATCAGTCAGTCAGTCCAGCTGTCAGTTTGATCCACGCTGGGCTGAATTTGCAGTGAAACTTGTTTTCTCTTTCTTTCTTTCTTTCATTCATTCTTTTTTTTTCTTTTTTTTTGAGAGAAGGACTCTTATTAACCTTGGTCTCTGCCTGTCTACCTATTTCTCCATCACCCAATCTTGACCAAACATAAAGGCGTGTAAAACAACAATCATACTCTTCAGCCTCAGCATGGATAGTTAAGGGCATACAGCAAATTTAAGTATGCAAATGAAACTCAAATGATGAACACTGGAAAAATTACAAGTCATATATTCTCATGGTAAAGCTGTGTTGCGCTATCACTGTTTAAAAAAATTAATGCCTAATGTCGGGGTTTGGCTTGGTTACAACCTCATAGTCTGCTTTGATAAGCACCAACAATGCTTTGTGCAGCCAAATCAGTTTAACTGTGCTGCTTGTTTATGTATCTTCCACACTTTGATGTAATTTGGCAGACCACTCTATGAAGCAGCTTCCAAGCAGAATAATGATGGGCCAAGACTATATTCTACAAAGCTCAAGAGATCCAGTATTTCCACACGAACCTACAATAAACACATAAACACAATGACTGATTTGGGGGTAAAAATAAAATAAAATAGAATGAAATGTAAAAGTTGACAATGCATTGTTGATGACTGCAAACTCTGTTAAATTTTCATAGGTTATCTTTTACATGTCCATTCCATCCATTATTTTTACCACTTTTTCCCCACAGGGGGCTGGAGCTAATGTCAGCAGTCAATCATAGGGCTGACATACGCTTGGCTGACAGTATTATATCAGGCCTGATATTGTATTTTGGGCGGATAATCCAAAAATATGTACAAGGTACAGTATATGATGCGCATGATTTGGACAGGAAGCTGGCATACCCTGACAGATACACCCACACATGTGTATAACATGCAAACTCCACACAGGAAGGCCCCTACCCGGCAGAGGATTCATACCAGCAACCTTCTTACTCTGGGGCAGCACTTATCAGTGCACCACTGTGGAGCCCATTGTCTTACAAAGTTTTACTGTAAATAAATTACAGCAGTGTGTTTCAGAACAACAATTACCTGTAATTTTGCTTTCATTTGTTCATTAATAGACTTACTCTGTTTTCCACTTAAACTGCTGAGGTAATCTAGAAACTACAGCTAAAAGATTTTAATATACCTGTTAGAGCCATTTATCTATTAAAGACAGCAGTCAACCCTTGCTGCTGATTGGTCCAAAGATTAAGCATGCAACCAGTGGGTGTGGGATCCTGTTATTTGAGGCTGTGAAGATGCTGGACTCTGATCATGTTTAAGGATACATGGTCAGTCAGTCAGTCAGTCAGTCAGTCAGTCAATCAATCAACTTTATTTCTACAGCACATTTAAAATAACCACAAGGGTAGCCAAAGTGCTGTACAATGACACATAAAAACAAATAACACAGTCAAAGAACAAGATAAGGCGAGCAGAAATACAGTAATGCAAAGGAATAAATAAGTAAATAAATAAGCAGGCTCACGGCAAGTGCTAAGATGATAAAAAACAAAATAACACTAAAAAGTATCAAAAGCCAAGGAGTAAAAGTGCGTTTTTAAAAGGGATTTAAAAACAGGAAATGAGGAGGCCTGTCTGATTTTCAAGGGCAACTCATTCCAGAGCTTCGAGGCGGCAGCAGCAAACGCTCTGTCCCCTCTGAGCTTCAGCCTTGTAATGGGGACCGTCAGTAGCAGCTGATCGGCTGATCTTAAGGGTCGGGGTGGGCAATAAGGCTGGAGCATCTCCGAAATGTAAGGTGGAGCAAGATTGTTCAGGCTTTTAAAAACAAATATTAAAAGCTTAAAATGAATTCTGTACTGTACAGGGAGCCAGTGTAAGGACGCCAGGATGGGGGTGATGTGCTCACGCCTGCGGGTCTGGGTGAGGAGACGTGCAGCAGAGTTCTGCACAAGCTGCAGGCGGGCAAGCGAAGCCTGGCTAATCCCTATGTACAGAGAGTTACAGTAATCAAGACGGGTAGTGATGAAAGCATGGATTAATTTTTCCAGGTCAGATTTTGATAAAATGGGCTTCACCTTCGCTATTTGACGTAGCTGATTAAAGCTTTTTTGTACCACCCCGCTGATCTGCTTCTCAAATTTAAAATCAGCGTCAAACTTAATTCCCAGATTAGTGACGACCTCTTTAAGGTAGGGTGAGAGGGAGCCTAGGTCGATGTTGGGGGGGTGGCCGCCACTTGGTCCAAACAACATTACTTCAGTCTTGTTCTCATTAAGACTGAGGAAGTTAAAAGAAAGCCAGGCTTTAATGTCCTTAAGGCAGTCAGTGAGTTGTTGGACTGAGTCAGAGTTGTTCTGTGCTAGTGGAAAATAGATCTGGCAATCATTGGCATAAAAATGAAAGGAGATGCCATGTTTCCTAAAAACAGAACCAAGGGGGAGTAAATAAAAGGCAAATAAAAGAGGGCCAAGGATTGAGCCTTGGGGGACCCCATGTGGGAGGGGAGCTGTTGACGACACAGAGTTGTCAAGTTGAACACAGAAGCTGCTGTCGTTAAGTACGACCGGAACCAGTCCAGGGCAACACCCTTAATGCCCACACAGTGCTCAAGGCGAGAGATTAAAATGCTGTGGTCAACAGTGTCAAATGCAGCAGACAGATCTAGGAGCACAAGGACAACAAACTTTCCAGAGTCTGTTGACATGAGAATATCATTAGACACCTTTAAAAGCGCTGACTCTGTGCTATGGAGAGCTTTAAAACCAGACTGGAACAACTCTGTGATACCATTATCTTCCAAAAATGGTAACAATGATTGTAGACCACCTTCTCTAGAATCTTGGACAGATATGGAAGATTTGAGATGGGTCTGAAACTGGCACAGAGGGATGGGTCAAGGCCAGTTTTTTTAAGTAGAGGCCGTACTACAGCATGTTTAAAATCCTTAGGTACTGTACCAGAGGAGAGGCTACTGTTAACAATATTAAGGACACTTGGTCCAATAGTAGCAAGTACTTCTTTAAACAAGCGAGGGGGGATGGCATCTGCAGGGGAACCAGAAGGCTTCATATGGCTGACTATGTCCTTAAAAATAGAGAGGGACACAGACTCAAATTTAGAGAAGACAGATGAGGGGTGCAGAGGGGCTGAATGGTCATACGAAGGTTGAGAGATACAGGCTCTGGTTGACATAATTTTATCAGTGAAGAAGTGGAGGAATTTTTCACAAATTTCAGTGGAGGCATCAACCAAGAGACTTGGGAGCCTCAAGGACAGTGTTTATGGTTTTGAACAGAGCGCTGGGGTTGTTACAGTTAAAAGCAATTAATTCTGAGAAGTATTTATTCTTCTCGGCTTTTACAATCCTCTGATAATTCCTCAGACTATCTTTAAGGATGCCAAGAGACACGTGCAGTCTGTCATTTTTCCACCTGCGCTCCGCCCTCCTGCACTCACACCTGGCTGCACGAGTGACGTCGTTCAACCAGGGCTCGGGTGTAGGTTTGGTGCGCCGGGTCTTCAGAGGAGCGATCGTGTCCAGTGTTTGTAGACAGGTGGAGTGAAATCTCAGTACCAGTTCCTCAGTATCCAAACACACAGAGGCTGCAGAGTCGTCCTCGCAGAGACCAACGTAGGTAGAGGAGAACAGAGCAGGCGAGGAAGAGTTAAACATGCGACGCGGTTTAGGTGGAGCACGCAATTTAACCGGACACTGAGTGGGGATGTCAAATAAAATCGGATTCGAGAAAACAGCGTCACAAATGTCAAGGTTGGAAACACATAGACCGTGCGAGAGCACTAAGTCTAGTGTGTGCCCGAGATTATGTGTAGAACCGGACACAGACTGCACGAAGTTAAAAGAGTCAATGAGATTTAAAAAGCTCCTGGAGACCGGCTCTTCAGGGCAACAAGTGTGAATATTAAAATCACCAACAATAAGGACACGGTTGTATTTCGGCAGAATTTCGGCCAGAATTCAGAAAAGTCACTTATAAAATCCTTATTGTACTTGGGTGGTCGATAAATGACGGTGCACAGGACAACATGAGAGCAGCCCAGTTCAAACAAGCTCATTTCAGAACTTGCAAAGGAGAATTTCAGGCAGATCTGCCGGCATTTGAAGTTGCTTGTAAAAATAACTGCTATTCCACCTCCATTTTTATTTTACACTGTCATTTTGCAGATGCTTTATCCAAAGTGATGTCCATTTGAGGTTCAGTTTTGCTACTCTTACTATTATTAGCTATGTCAGTGTTGAATTTCCTCTCTGAATGTCAAAGTATTGTCTTATATAAACAGAGTGATGGATTGAAGACTGATTGTTTTTCCTTTGTCTGTAAATACTCCTAAATGAAAGCAAACATTATGCATACAGAGCATTTTAAAGGAACATTCACAAAATAAAAATGCAATAAGACATCTTCTGTAATCTTGCAATAGTAATCACTGTGAGGTGCGCTGAAATAGAGGATATGAATCCTGCCAGCACAGAAAAAGCCATTGGAAAACACAAGCTGTTGATATTAAAAATATACAGCTCTATAATAAGCCTTTATGTCAAACCTTTTCTGAGGAGTTTTCAATCAGACATAAGGCTATGAGAAACAGAAATGTGAGGGGCTTTTTTGTCTCCATGGTGAGCTGTGTGAGGTCTGACAAATGTCCTGAAGTGATGTCAGCTCAGGCAGCAGTCGGGGATGGATTGGAAAGGTGGAAATGAAAAAGTAAGAAAGAAGAAAATGAGCCCTGCTGACCTCAAAAGCTCTTGCCTCACATCTGCCTCAGGTTAGAGGCTCCAGGAAACATCAGAATCATTAACATTTTGAGATTGCATTGCTGGACTGACTGTACAGTTACATATAAATTACATTATGATACAACCAGCTTCTGAGTGGCTTTGTAGAAGCCAACAGTAAGTGTAAGCACAGAGCTCAGATTTTATGTTTGTGTGGAGCATATCTGATTATTTAAAATATTGGTCAGTTGTTTGGTGCAAATAATGTGGGAGTGTTGCCAAACCTAACCCTCAGAGATCTCATGATCTCTCCTGTAGCATCACCCTTAGGACAAAAAAACACCTTCTCACCTTCTAAACAGTGAGACTTTTGAGAAGCATGCTCTTTACTGTAAAGATTGTTCATCTAAAACTTTTAGTATGGTGTTGTAAAATTACAGCAGGGACATTATTTTCCTCTTTGAAAGGACTGAGGTACAGTCATGTCACATGGTGCAATGTCCTGAAAATGTCTCAGGCAGGGATGAGTCATGATTTAATAACAAGTTAACAGGCACCGAGTATCCAGCAGATGTGTTTAATATGAGAACACTATAATGAAGGCATGAATCACACCCAGGATACAAAAAAAACAAGTTATAAATTCAGCCATCTCTCTCAAGTGGGATGTAAAACTCTGTTAGCACATTACTCCTACCACAGCTGTCATTTTAGAGTCTCAGAAATATTCCAATTACAGCAACAATGGCTCCTCTTTCTTTTGTCCTTTCACATTTTTCAATGATTTCAACTATTATTTTTTTCATCTGATGTGATAATGGGACTGGAAATGCTCTGCAATCCTGACAAACAGCCAAAAGGTAAATTGATATTCACATGTGAATGAAAGCATGATGAAAGGCTGCTGATAATGCATCTGAGAAACATATTGGAAAAACACCTATCACTGCACATTAAGTCCCCCAGTCCCCCGACAAAACTTGCCCATTTCATCAACACTTCGATAATGTATTCAGGAAAATAATTCTGACAGAGTATTTAACCATGTCTACCTCAGGGCTCTCAAGTTTTGAACTAAGCTTAGAGTGAGATTTCCTTGGGGGGGGGGGATTGAAGATAATTATTAGTATAATTATCTCTTAAATACAACGGAGTATAAGGGGCACAATTAGAAAAAAAAACGTTTTTAAATCTTAGAGAATAAAGTTATTATTTGGGAGAATAAAGTCATTGATATATAAGTATTAAGTCGTAAAGTTACCTGTTGTGAAAGAGAGTTGTTAAAATCAGCACTGTGGAGCATTTAGATGAATTGTACTTCAGTATAGGTTTCACAGATATGAAGATACTTAATCCTTTGGTACATGAGCATTACACTGTCATGAGTATCAGAACTTATATTTGAGATATATGAGAAATGCTGCTTTTGTGGAGGGGAAAATGGCCGGAAATGGCTGTTCAGAGGCTAAATCTGTCAATACAGCTGTTAATAGCAATAGCATAGGGCTTTAGTTTATCATATGAGTCTATATGCTATGAGGTGTTGAGGTCTCTGCATGTGTAGGTTACTGACTTACTGTAATCATCGGGTCTATCTCGTCCTTATAAAAACCTGCTCTATTTCGGCGAGTGTCTGTCTTCTTCTGTAGTCAAACCGTAAGATATCAAAATCTACCCGGATACAGCAATGCTGCTTTTTTAATTGGCTGTTCAGTAGATATACTTTATTTGATTGGCTTGCACGTGGAACGCAGCTTCTGAACTCTCGGAGGAACTCAATTGATTCCTACCTGTACCATAGTTAAAGAGGTGCAACTTGGTGGACATCACCATGTTCATTTAAATGCGTGAGAAATACAATGTGTGGCGTGTGAGCGTGTGAACGGGTGGGAATGCTTGTGTCACACGCTGAATGCATGAGACTTGAGAGCCCTGCTACCTTGATCAAGGTCTCTCCAGTGTAACGGGTATTGACTGGACCCAACTGCAGCACAAACAAGCAGGTTCACTTTAACAACAGTCTTTATTGAACACCAAATCCAATGAAGCAGCAGAGTATAGCAGGTGGGTATGGCAGGATTCGAACTCGGGTCTTCCGGGTGATAGGCGAGCAGATTAGCAGTGGACCACAGGTCAGGCAAGAGTTTTGGACTCGTGAGCAGGGAATTGTCCACAGTCTTAATTTGCTCCACGAGTGTAGTGAAGGGGAAAACGCTCAACTCACAGCTGGAGGAAGATTTCTTGGAGAGTGGTTCAGGTGAGGACTGGGTGAGGATCCAGAGCTTGCAGAGGAGCTGGCAGAACCAACGTCGGCAGAGGAGGTGAGTTGGCGAGGTGAAGCTGACGAGAAGGGGGATCTCAACAGAGCAGGAACAGGCTGAGTGCCATTCAGCCGCAGGCAGACGAATAGCAGGAAACAGGCAGGCAAAGCTCGTAGTCAAGGATAGAAGGCAGGTAGGTTTACCGGGGCTGAGGCGAGAAGCAAAGGTCAGGGGCAGATCAGGTCGATACCAGGTAAGCAGTCCGGGAATTAACGCTGGAGAGTCAGGCATGAGAGCGAAGACAATCTGGCAAAGAGTGAGGGGAAAGAAGCTGCATATATACTGGCCTGATTGGAGATGATGAGCAGGTGAGAGCAGCAGGTGGAAGCAGTTAGCTGATGAGGGGTGTGGCTGAGCAGCAGAGCAGGAGAGGGGCAGAGCAGACTGTTACAGAACCCCCCCCCTCAAGGGATGGCTCCCGACATCCCCAAAGGTTAAACTGGGGGGGGGGGGGGGCCGGGGGGAATGGAGGTGGGCCTAAAACTCCTGGGAGCAAGACCTTGTCATCTCTTCAGCAGGGTGGGTGGAGGGGGTCTGGAGGAGGGTTTCTCTGACACCTGACATCTCCCCCGCAGAACGGTCCTCCACATCCTGGACAGGTGGGGGCAAGGAGCGGGTTCCTCGACGAGCTGACTCATTGGCTGGCTGGTCAGGATGTTGCCGATGAAAGTTGGCCACGAGGTTGGGGTCCAAAATGTGGCGAACAGGAACCCAAGATCTCTCCTCAGGACCGTAACCCTCCCAGTCCACAAGGTACTGGAGACCCCTACCCCGCCGTCGCGAACGAACTAGGTGGCGCACTACATACACCGGACCACCGTCAACCATTCGTGGAGGGGGAAGTAGTGGTGCCGCAGGGACCAAGGGGCTGTTGTGGACTGGCTTAACCTTGGAGACATGGAAGGTAGGGTGTACTCTCATGGACCGTGGGAGTTTCAACCGGACTGTCACAGGGTTGATGACCCTCTGAATGGTGAAAGGCCCAATGAACCTTGGAGCCATCTTTTTGGATTCCACCCGGAGAGGTAAGTCTTGGGTAGAGAACCACACCTGCTGACCCGCTTGGTAGGTAGGTGCAGCAGTACGGCGGCGGTTGGCATTGGCAGCGTAACAACCCACGGAACGGAGGAGGGTGGAGCGAGCCTGGAGCCATGTTCTGCGGCAGCGACGGATGAAGGCTTGGACTGACGGAAGGAGACCTCCTTCTCCTGGGCTGGAAAAAGTGGTGGTTGATAGCCGTAAGCACACTGGAATGGAGAGAGGCCAATAGCAGAGCAGATGAGGGAGTTGTGGGCATATTCCACCCACAAAAGTTGTGACGCCCAAGAAGAGCGAATTCCTGGACGTCCTCTTGCAAAGTGGGCCACCAGAAACATTGGAGGAGGGCATGCTGTGTCCGTTGAATCCCAGGGTGGCAGGAGAGCTTGGAGGAGTGGGCCCATTGTAACACCTCTGACCTCAAGGCTGGTGGAACAAATTGGCAGTTAGACGGGCAGGAACTGGGGCCCGGCTGTCCTTCTGTGGCTGCCCTCACCTTCTCCTCAATGTCCCAGGTCAACATGGCTACAAGACAGGAAGTAGGTAGGATGGTCTCAGCTCCAACAACCGAATCCTCTGTCCTCTGGAACTGTCGGGACAGGGCGTCAGGCTTGACATTGCGGGAACCAGGACGGTAAGAGAGGGTGAAGTTAAAACGGGCGAAGAACAGGGACCAGCGGGCCTGGCGAGAGTTCAGTCTTTTTGCAGAGCGTATGTACTCCAGATTCTTGTGGTCAGTCCATACAAGAAAAGGTTCCTTCGTGCCCTCCAACCAATGGCGCCACTCTTCTAAGGCCATCTTTACTGCCAAGAGTTCCCTGTTACCAATGTCATAGTTTCTTTCTGCAGAGGATAGACGGCGGGAGAAGAAGGCACAGGGATGGAGCTTCTGGTCAGTGCATGAGCGTTGAGACAAGACGGCCCCCACCCCAACATCAGAGGCATCTACCTCGACCACAAACTGGCGTTCAGAGTCAGGCATCAGGAGGATGGGCGATGAGGTGAACCGATCCTTGAGGAACTGGAAGGCCGCTGCAGCTGCAGAAGACCACTGAAAGGGCACCTTGGAGGAGGTCAGAATGGTGAGAGGGGCTGCAACTGAGCTGTAGTTGCGGATGAAGCAACGGTAGAAATTGGCGAACCCAAGGAAGCACTGAAGCTGCTTGCGGTTCTCCGGAACAGGCCAGGAGGTAACAGCTGAGACCTTGGCTGGGTCCATCTGGATGCTGCCTTGTGCCACAATGTACCCCAGAAAAGATGCTGAAGGAACATGGAACTCGCACTTTTCTGCTTTAACATAAAGGGAGTTCTCCAAGAGGCGCTGAAGGACGGACTGGACATGATGAATGTGCTGCTCTTTGGACCGGGAGAAGATGAGTATATCATCTAGGTAAACAAAGACATACTGGTTTATCATGTCTCGGAGAACATCATTAATCAGAGCCTGGAAGACGGCAGGGGCATTGGTGAGGCCAAACGGCATTACGAGGTACTCGTAGTGTCCGGTAGGGGTGTTGAATGCCGTCTTCCATTTATCTCCTTCTCTGATGCGGACGAGGTGGTAGGCGTTGCGTAGGTCGAGTTTGGAGAAAATGGTGGCCCCCTGGAGCAGTTCAAAGGCAGTGGACATGAGTGGCAGTGGGTAACGGTTCTTTACCGTGATCTCATTCAGTCCTCTATAATCTATGCAAGGTCTCAATGTCTTGTCCTTCTTCTCAACAAAGAAAAACCCTGCTCCAGCAGGGGATGAAGAGGGACGAATGATGCCTGCGGCCAAGGAGTCATTTATGTATGTCTCCATGGCCCTTCTTTCGGGTTCAGACAGGGAGTACAGGCGACCCTTGGGAGGTGATGAACCAGGCAGGAGATCAATGACGCAATCATAGGGTCGGTGTGGAGGCAGAGAGGTGGCTCTGGTTTTGCTGAAGACCTGGCGGAAGTCATGGTACTCGGGTGGCACCCCACTGAGGTCAGGTGACGAACTGGAGCTACACCCAGAGGGATGAAGCGGAACTGAGGCTTGCTGCAGGCACCTCTGATGACAGGAGGAACTCCACTCCTGGATGGTCCCAGTTGCCCAGTCGATGTGAGGATTGTGAAGACGGAGCCATGGATATCCCAGGATAAGTGGCAGGCAGGAAGAGCTCAGGATGTGAAACTGGACGGTTTCATGATGGTTACCAGACAGTAGCAGGTGAACAGGAGAGGTCTGATGCGTGAGGGTGCCCAGGACATGTCCATCTAAGGCTCGAGCAGGAACCGGGTGAGGCAAAGGAACCCGCTCAAGCCCCAGCTGAAGGACCACCTCCTCGTCAATGATGCTGGCATCAGCCCCGGAGTCAATGAAGATAGCCAAGGTGTGGGGGCCATCTGGAAGGAGGAGGCGGCCTTGGAGCAGGGGTCGCTGGCTTTGGGGAGGTGACAGGGTAGTTGAGCTCACCAGGGTCTCCCCAACTACTGATGAGCTCTGGCTTTTGCTGGACAGCCGGAGATGTAGTGTCCCGCTGCCCCACAATAGAGGCAGAGATTAGACTTGCGTCGACGCTCTCTCTCTTCCAGGGAGAGAGAGGTGCGGCCCAACTGCATGGGCTCTGGATCCTCAAACTGCTGACCCAATGGGGTGGAGTTGGGTGCAGCAGCACCCCCACGGGAGCGAGGTAGACGAGAATGTTGGGTTCCTCCTTGACGCTTCTCTCGTCGACGAGTCTGAACACGAAGGTCGATGCGGACGGCCAAGTCAATCACCCCGTCCAAGGTGAGGGAGGTGTCATGTGAAACCAGTTCATCTTTAATGTAATCTGCCAACCCATGGAGAAAGGCATCACGGAGAGCTGCACTGTTCCATCCACTTTGGCTGGCTCTGGTGCGGAAATCAATGGAATAGTCAGCCACTGTTCGTTCGCCTTGCTTCAGTCCCATCAGTCCCCTTGCCGAATCAGAACCAGAATTCTCAAACCCAAAAACCTTCCGAAGCTCGGCAGCAAACAGGTCAAAGGAAACACAGGCTGGAGACCGCCTCTCCCACTCAGCTGTTCCCCATAGTCTAGCTCTGCCTGTCAGGTGGTTAATGACAAACGCTACCTTCGCCGGTTCTGTGGCGAAGGTGCGGGGCTGTAGGGCAAACAGGAGAGAACAGTTGGTGAGGAAGGGGCCACAAGTCTCTCGATCTCCATCATAACCCTCTGGGGTTCCCACCCGTGGCTCAGGAGCATCGCTGGGTAGAGAAGAGGCGGGTACAGGTGCAGGAGCAGAAGGTGACGCTTCTGAAGAAAAGGCAGATCCAGCAGATGAGGGGAGCTGGGTCAGTTGAGCTGCTAGCTGTTGCATCTGTGCGGCTAAAGCTGCAAGTGATTGTCCTTGAGTCTCAGCAGCTCGTCTGGCTTCAGCGGCAGCTGCAGTCATCTTGGCCTCATGTTGCTGCAGAACGCCCTCAATTCTCTCAAGGCGATTCAGTGGTGAGGGATTGTGTGCTGGGTCCATAGTTTGGCCAGATTGTACTGTAACGGGTATTGACTGGACCCAATTGCAGCACAAACAAGCAGGTTCACTTTAACAACAGTCTTTATTGAACACCAAATCCAATGAAGCAGCAGAGTATAGCAGGTGGGTATGGCAGGATTCGAACTCGGGTCTTCCGGGTGATAGGCGAGCAGATTAGCAGTGGACCACAGGTCAGGCAAGAGTTTTGGACTCGTGAGCAGGGAATTGTCCACAGTCTTAATTTGCTCCATGAGTGTAGTGAAGGGGAAAACGCTCAACTCACAGCTGGAGGAAGATTTCTTGGAGAGTGGTTCAGGTGAGGACTGGGTGAGGATCCAGAGCTTGCAGAGGAGCTGGCAGAACCAACGTCGGCAGAGGAGGTGAGTTGGCGAGGTGAAGCTGACGAGAAGGGGGATCTCAACAGAGCAGGAACAGGCTGAGTGCCATTCAGCCGCAGGCAGACGAATAGCAGGAAACAGGCAGGCAAAGCTCGTAGTCAAGGACAGAAGGCAGGTAGGTTTACCGGGGCTGAGGCGAGAAGCAAAGGTCAGGGGCAGATCAGGTCGATACCAGGTAAGCAGTCCGGGAATTAACGCTGGAGAGTCAGGCATGAGAGCGAAGACAATCTGGCAAAGAGTGAGGGGAAAGAAGCTGCATATATACTGGCCTGATTGGAGATGATGAGCAGGTGAGAGCAGCAGGTGGAAGCAGTTAGCTGATGAGGGGTGTGGCTGAGCAGCAGAGCAGGAGAGGGGCAGAGCAGACTGTTACATCCAGCTATTAACAAATATGTTTGGCCATGTGTGACTGCAAAGTCGTATTGACATTACATTCTTTATGTACTCATGTCCTGCACATGACTTTTTGTCATTTTATGTGCTCATAAAAAAAAAAAAAGGAAAGATCTCTAGAGCAAAGATTTCCTCACAATGCAGGCTGAACAACAGGGTGTGACTTGAATGAACTGCTGCTTCTGTGTGACTAAACCATGGCCAAAAGTGACACCCTGCATGATCATCAAACTTTATGTTTAATGATCTCACTTTTCAAATCTTAAAAGCCACATAATAGCAGCAAGAACTCAGTAAAAAGCAGTTCCATTGAAAGAAAAAAATACAGCTGGACCGTGTTTTACTCTATGTGTCTCTTGTTTCCCCTGTCCACTTTAAGCTCTTTCACATTCATCACATTTACACATCGAAGGCAGAGGCTGCCATCTAAAGAACCATTAGTATCGACTTATCTCTATCACACACTACAGGGCACAGCCAACACGAGCAGTTTAGGATCAGTCTTGCTCATTCACACTTTAGCATGTGGACAGCAGAATTGGGATCGACCCCTTCCCACCCTCTTATTGAGAAAGGCTGCTGATGAGATTCTTCAGAGATTTCAAATAATTATGATATTACATACAAGGAGCACATCCACAACAAAGAATCCTTTTTCAATTATTTATTCATACAACAACACCCCCTAAAATCTAATAGTCTAGAAGGCTAAGCCGAACCAGCAGCAGGCACCACCAGGCTTGGCCCACAAAGTTTTCTGAGGGGAAACCGAACTGAGCCGAAGGGTCCGGGTCAGGGCTCTGTCTGTGGAGGGATCCACTCTGAGCTGAGCCAATTTGAAATCCGGCTGTCAGCTAACAGCTAAGGGCTAACAGCTAACGGCTAACAGGTACCTCCTGTCCAACCATGCTCCCACTCACCTCACCATCCAGTTGTGATCGCTGCCTCCAGCTGAGCCAAATTATCTCCGACCTGGAGGACCGCATCTCCAACCTCTACCAACTCCACGGTTGAGAAAAGTTCTTGGAATCTTTCATTGTCACGACAGGAGCGACTGGTGCCGCTGCTGAAGCTAAGCTTGACGCCACCATCCCGGTTGCCCTGAGCCATCCCTCAACTCCATGGGACATCCCCGGCCCCCCCACCGCGCCCTCCGTCCGACCTGAGGCTGATCTCCATCCTAACATCCCAGCGACTCAGCCCCCGACTAGAGGCGCCGAAGTCTGCTGGCTGCAGGAGGGTGCTAAGCCCAAGGCACCTCATGGTTATTTTACTCCCAACCCCAAACTGTGTAACTCCACTCCTGGTTCTTGGATCCCGGTAAAAAGCAACACCAGGCTAAAGAAGAAATCCCCTCCACGCCGATGTTCCGTTGGAATTCTTCTTTCCAACAGCTTCAGCCCTCTGGATGAGCAGGACTTCCACTTCCGCCTCGGCAGACAGGTGCGCCACGATGCACTCCTCCTCTGCTCCCTTCACCGCAGCGGCATTCAGGTGAGCCTCGGCACGCTCCTCCATCTTCGCCACCAACATCCTCAACAGCTGCGTCCGCGCATTTGCGCATCGTTGAGGGAAGCACGCGGCTCACTCCCGTCCAACCAAACCCAGTCCTCCACCTCCTTCGGTACTCGTGGTCAGCACCTCAATGGTACGTAACATCACTCTGCCCACATCTGTAATCAGCTGCAACCCGGGTGCCAGTGTCAAGGCCATCAACTCCAAAATCCCAGAGTTACTGGAACAATACCCTTCTGCCTCATCTCTCTGCATCCATGTAGGTGGAAACGATCTACGCTTTAAACAGTCCGAATTACTCAAAAACGATTTTAGGAACCTCATCGATAGCCTCTCTCTGTCAGACCACTGTTTTGTGATTTTTGTGGTCCTCTGCCTTGTCCCTGCTACGGTGACGTGAAGTTCAGCCGTGTACAACACTTACATGTGTGGCTAAAAGCTTACTGCTCTTCACTAAGTATTCCATTCGTGGACAATTTCGCCACCTTCCTCCACCGCCCTTACCTTTTCAGACATGATGGACTTCATCCAAACTTTCACGGATCACGTCTCCTCTCTATTAACATGCACCTGGCCCTCTTATCAGTTAATATGGACCTTACCCTCCGCTCCTTTACCACTGCCACCTCCTGACAAACTGTCAACACATGCACACACACGCCCCCCACCCCTCATCCCCCTGCTCTCCCTCACACCTCACACACCTCATCAGCAACACCCCCACCACTCTCAATAGAAAAACAGGACACTCACACCATCAAAACCATCATTTCATACAGACAGCCGAAACCAAGGACTGTTTTTAGAGCCCCCCGTGTTTTTAAAATCCCCCTTTTATCAAGGGCTGAGCGCACTTTCGGCACGGACATTAAAATGGCTGTGCTGAACGTGCGCTCTCTTTTAAATGATTTGATTTTAGAAAAACAGCTCGACTGCATCCTTCTTACTAAGACATGGCTTGGCACTGATGCACCTATTGTTCTCACTGAAGCTTCCCCCACAAATTTTAACTTTTTATTTTCTACGCAGGAGGGGAAGAAAGGAGGAGGAACTGCATCAATAATATGATCCAAACTGTCCCCTTCTGCAGTTCCTTTTAACAGCTACTCGTCATTTGAATATCACGCCTTTGCTTTTAGCAGCCCTCCTATCGTCTGCTTCAATCTGTACAGACCCCCCTGCTACTCATCCTCTTTTATCAGTGAATTCTCCAAACTTTTATCAATCATCCACACTACCTACAACAAGATTTTAATAACTGGTGATTTTAATTTACACATTGACAACACCTCAGACCCAGTGTCTAGAGAATTTTTAAACCTTTTAAAGTGCTTTGATTTTCAGCAGCATGTGACACAGCTGACCCACAGCAGGGGGGCGCATGCTGGACCTGGTCATAAGCTATGGCCTGTCCGTTAGTGTGCCCTCTGTTGTGGATCTGGCTGTGTTTGACCATTTTTGTGTGTTTTTTTTAAATCAGCAGTTGTAACCAGAGGGGGAGCCCAGTCAGAACGGTGAGGAAACGCTACCTAACTTCTGAAGTGGCTGCAAATATTATTCACATCCTACAGAACACATCTTCACAAACATTACCAGCACCCTGTGATTTTATCGTTGACAATTTTAACAACAATCTAAGGTCAACACTGGACTCAGTTGCTCCACTTTTAACCAAAACAATCAAGAAAAAAGCAAGACCACTATGGAGAAACGCACGTATCAAAGAGCTCAAAAGAAGATGCAGGAGTGCTGAAAGGAGATGGAGGAAATCAAAATTAACAGTCCACCTTGAAATTTTTAAACACCACCTCAAAACCTATAATAACACAGTCAAACAGGCAAGAACTTCCCCCTACAAAAAACTAATCACTGACAATAAACATAACCCCAGATTTCTTTTTACTACAATTGATCTTTTGACAAACAATAATTTTAACAGAACCCCTGGGTCATCCTCTGATACCCTCTGTGAGGATTTTGCAGACTACTTCAGAAGTAAAATCGACAACATCAGATCCAGTCTTTTATCGCAACAGATTTTAACGGCCAACACATCTGGATCACTGCTTTTACCCGAGGAAACACTGGAGAGTTTTGCACTGGTTGACACGCAGACACTTGGTCGAGTTTTCTCCCAAGTAAACCCCACAACCTGCCGTTTAGATCCAATTCCCACACGGTTTTTTAAAGAATTTTATGGATTCTTTGAGGAACAGCTTTTAAACATTGTAAATTGCTCTCTTCAGACAGGGGTCTTTCCCACCTCCTTTAAAATGGCGCTGGTGAGGCCTCTTCTGAAGAAGAGCAATCTGGACCCCAAGATTTTTAACAAATACCGACCTGTATCCAACTTACCATTTTTAAGTAAAATTTTGGAAAAACTTGTTCTTTAACAAGTAAATGATTTTTTTAAACAGAAAGAAAACGCTCTCTGGCCTCCCAAAGAAAAACTTACATACACTTCAGCTTTTACGGAATTCAGCCGCAAGAGTGCTGACGAGGGTCAGAGGGCGAGGGCATATAACGCCAGTTTTAGCATCGCTGCATTGGCTCCCCGTCCGTTTCAGGATTGATTTTAAGGTTCTTTTATTAGTTTTTAGATGTATTAATGGTCTTGGCCTGTCCTATTTATCTGATTTACTTTTACCATATCAACCCTCGCGGACCCTGAGGTCCTCTGGCAAAGGCCTTTTAACCTTACCCAAAGTCAAAACAAAAACACACAGGGAGGCGGCTTTCAGTTTTTATGGTCCCCGGTTGTGGAACAGCCTGCCGGAGAGCCTCAGGGCCACAGAGACTGGTAATATTTTTAAGAAGAGGCTCAAGACTCACTTTTTTAACCAGGCTTTTTACTAATTGCCATTTTAGATTTCTCTTACTGCAAATGTTCATTTTAATCAAAGTTCTTAATGTTTATTTTATGTCATTCTTTTCATTATCTCTGTTCTTAGCGTTTTTTAATTTCCCGTCACAGGTTTTTACTTTTACCCCTTTTATTTATTTTTTCATTTAATATTATTATTTTCTCATTCTAAATCCATCAGGTTTTACTCTTTTCACCATTTTTATCTTTATTTTTATCTCCAGTGTTTCCTAAAGGTAGCTCGTCCCTCATGTAATGTCTCGGTGTCAGGCCATGTCTCTTTAAAATTTTATCTTAAATTCTCACACTGTGTGTGGTTGTGTGTGTATGTGTGTGTATGTGAGGGTGGGTGTGTGGAAAGGCTGGGTTTTTGTCTTTATTGTTGTTATTAGCCTCTGTGAGGCACTTTGAATTGCATCTCCTGTATGAAAAGTGCCATATAAATAAAGTTGAATTGAACAGAAAAATAACAACAAAAGATAAACAGGGGTGGATTGAACTTCTCTTCAAGAATTAATAAAGTTCTTATCATCTTAGGCTCATATGACCAAGTAATCGGAGGAACAGTGATGATCTGCTATGCTGTCTGCAAACACACACACACACAGGCACATGTGCCCACTCTTAGATACATTCACACATAAAGCGGGCCTACAGTCCCTAGAAAAACAAAAGTCATAAAGCACTCATTCTGATCCCCACACATACTCAGGAGGTAAAGCGAGTTGTCAGCTGACCATAAGGTTGATGATAAGATCCCTGGACCTGGCTCTCACAAAGTGTCTGAGCAAAATTTAAACATTTTGTTGTTACAAATAGTTACTTAAATGTTTTTTAGGCTCACCATGTCCCACATTCAGAATTCAAAACATTTATTCACTATTTTATTTTATTTTATTTTTTTTTGCAAAGTAAAGCCAGTCAGTTCTGTGCATGGATGCAAATCAGCCATTTCAGCGCGTCACAGGAGGGAGAGGTTATGTTGTTGCAGTACATGTGTACGGAGAAATAAAATGAAAAGCAGAAGAGAGGTACTGATTCAGTGTGTTGATCAAAAGTATTTCAGACACTTGCTGCTACAAAGACACAGTATGAGACATATCAACTAACTTGGATGTCTGTTACAATTATGATAGAGAAAAAAAGTTTCAGCATCTTTGTAATAATAACAGAAGATTAACTTAATTTATCTCTGAGGGTAAATTTGATTGTCTAGGTTTTCATGTCTCAAGTTTTATGTCATCTATTATTTACAGTCAGGTTGTAAAGTCTGATGGCTGTGGGATTAAAGGATCTTCTAAATCTTTCTGTCCTGCAGCCAAGAGAGGGGAGCCGTCCACCACCATTGGCCCTTTGGTCTATCATGGTGTTATAAAGTGGATGATCCATGTTCTTTAGAATAGTCTCCACCTTCCTCAGTGTAGATCTCTCCATCACATCCTCCAGTGAGTCCAACTTGAATCAAACCACTGAGCCAGCGTTCTTCACCAGTTTGTTAAGACGTCTTGCATCTTTGTGTTTGATACTGCCTCCCGAGCAGACTGCAGCGTAGAACAGAACACTTGCCACCACAGACTGATAAAGCATCTTTAGCATCTTACTACAGATGTTCTTACTGCCCTCTCAGGGCAAAGTCTTCCAAGCTCCAATCTCACCCCTGTTTCTGTGACAGACAAGGACTGGTGTTCTCAGAGGGAAGTAGTTGAAGTGGTTGAGACATTGGAACGAGATGGGGGAGGAAGGGGAGAAGTTGTAGTGGAGATTTGTTGCGGAGAGGAAGGTGCAGTAGCAGTGGAAGTCGGTACGTCAGCAGTGTCAAATCTGTTGAAGAACAGGTTAAGTTCATCAGCTCTTTCCAGATTATCCACCACTGACTGTCTTTTCTTTTTATTGCTTTGTCCAGAGATGGTACCGATTCCTCTCCACACTTTACAGATGTTGCTGTGTTGTAGATTCTTCTCTATCTTCTTTTTGTACTCCCGCTTTGCCATCTTCAGTCTCCTCTTCAACTCTTGTTGCACTTGTTTGAGTTGTTCTTTATCACCATCTTTAAAAGCTTTCTTTTTCTGATTTAGGATTGCTTTTATGTCACTTGTGATCCAAGGTTTGTTGTTGGGGAAACAGCAAACAGTCTTTTTGGGAAAAACTGTGGGCTCTATTTTCGTGCCTCGCCGGAGACGTGCCGCAGGCGCGGCGCAAGTCAGGTCCGCTGCGCCGAAAAGGCATTCCCAAGCACAATTTGGTATTTTGGTGAGCGGCGCAGCCTGGTGTAAGTATCCCCCCTCCCTAACTCAGCTCCTTCCAGTGGCGTAAGTTGTGGCGAAGGAGGGTGTGGAGTGGGTTTAACCCTTCCGGAACCTTCGGGCTTTTAACAGCCAATTTATGATAAAACTAGAGACTAATTTGGATATAATTTTTTTTTACTGCAGCAAATGTGATGAATTTTTTTTTCTAAGCTTAATTTGACATTTTATTTGAAAACATGAATTCAAAATTTTCACCAGGTCAATAATAAAGCCAGGACAGAAAACGTCCTTTAAAGTCCCTCGTGGCTGTTAAAAGCCACTTGTTTTGTCGGCTGTAAAATCATATTGGATTAATATTTTTTTCTGATTTTTTTTCACACATCTCTTATTTTACTTCTGCCCTGTTCAAAACTAGCAAATGTTTCATTGAAAACATTTTTTTTAACCCTTTAAGTGCCAATTTAAGACAAAAAGTCACTAATATGGCAAAAGATTTAAGGAAAATGACCCATTTTTTTAATAAAAAAAAATCAGAAACTGGTAATCTCTTGCAGGGTATTAAAGTCTTGAATATGTCAGAGATTAGAAATATCATTGGCTTCAATGCATTTCAAGTTTTTCTGTAGCATCAGATTTAATGAAAAACTGCCTTTGGCGCCTCCCAGTGGCCCAAACTACTTTGTCTGCTATAAAATCATATTGGATTAATATTTTTTTCTGATTTTTTTTCATACATCTCTTGTTTTTACTTCTACCCTGTTCAAAACTAGCAAATGTTTCATTAAAAATAAAAAATTTAATCCTTTAAGGGCCCATTTAAGACATAAAGTCACTTTTAAAGTAAAAAAAATGGAAGGAAAATGACCTATTTTTTTATTGTGTGTGTGTGTGTGTTTGTGTGCACGTGCGTGCATTTGTGTGCACGTGCACATGCGTGCATGTGTGTGCATGTGTGTGTGTGTGTGTGTGTGTGTGTGTGTGTGTGTGTGTGTGTGTGTGTGCACGCCTGCCTGCATAAGACAGATGGGTGTAAAAAAGTCAAAAAAAAAAAACATGATCTCAGATCAAAGTCTAATTCAGCAGATCAAAAGCACACAAGCATCAAAGTTGTTTATGCACCTGCTGTCTGGCCTTTTGATCTCCATGTGCTCCACCCAAGGCCCCACCCCTGCACCTTACAACTAAAAGAGTGTCATGATCATTTTCTCACATATTCTCGTGGGAAGAGCCAGAGAAACACCATTACGAGACGCTTTAGTGATTCAGAGGCCCTTGCAATGGTCCTGGAGGCGGAAGACATGGAGTCTGACCCCCCCGTGGATCCATCATCTTCTGATTCAGAAGCCACCACCACAGCTTCAGAATCGGATCCCGATTTTTTGCTGCCGCCCTCGTCTTCTTCTTCTACATCTTCCATGGAAACAGAGGAGGAGACAGAGACCTCACTCGACCACTCTGCATGGAAGGGGAGAAATGGACAAATTTGGTCTCCCTCCCACATGGAGACAGTTGGAATCCACCGGCAATGGCAACAAGGAAAGGGCAACCAACCTACTACGCCATGGTGAGGGTCCACTGTATAGAGGCGGCATTTGATCTCTTTTTCACACCAGACGTGATTGACTGTGTGCTTACACACACTAACCTTCATGGAGGCCGCACTCAAAAGGACTGGAAAGAATTGGACGCCTGCGAATTTCGGGCTTTTCTGGGGCTCCTGATTTTTGCAGGCCTTTTTTCGCTCGAGAGGAGAGACAACTTTCTCCCTGTGGGATGGAGCACACGGTCGAGCTATTTTGTGAGCAACCATGTCACGAAAGAGGTTCCACCAGATTTTGCGTGCGATGAGGTTTGACGACAAGATGCAACGCCGGGCCCGATTCAAGAACGACAAACTGGCCCCCATCAGATCTCTGTGGGATATGTGGAGACATCGCCTCCCTCTTCTGTTTAATCCCGGCTCAGAAGTCACTATCGATGAGCAACTGCTTCCTTTTAAAGGGAGATGCAGCTTCAAGCAGTATATGCCGAAGAAACCAGCTAAATATGGCATAAAGATCTGGACGGCTGCAGATGTCTCCACGTCCTATGCATGGAAGGTCTCCATTTACACGGGCAAGAGTGGAGAAGCGAGAGAGGTGGGCCAAGCGAGACGGGTCGTTTTGGAGTTGCTGGAGGACATGACTGGGATCACAGTGACCTGTGATAATTTCTTCACCTCCTACCAACTCGGCCAGGAGCTGCTGAGGAAAAAAGTCACCATGGTTGGAACAATCCGAAAAAACAAAGCTGAGCTCCCACCCCAACTCCTGAATTTAAAAGGCCGAGATGTCCTCTCCTCAGTCTTTGCGTTCACCAACAACACGACAGCGGTCAGCTACATGCCCAAAAAGGGGAAGAATGTGCTCCTCATCAGCACCAAGCACAGACAGCCAGCAGTGGAAGAGGGCCCAAAGAAGAAACCAAAAATGATAACAGACTACAATCGCTGCAAGGGGGCTGTATATACTCTGGACCAGGTATGTTTCTTTTTTTTTTTTTCAATTAGTTGTAAGAGATGAATTTAGAAGATGTATTTTGTGGTCTGATAATATTTGCATGATTATATTCACCGTCATGTGAGGCATTAGAAAAAAGAATCATTGGGAACTCTTTTGTGATTTATTTCTTGTTATTTTATCTTTACAGCTCGTCCACAACTTCAGCTGCCAGAGGAGAAGCAGGCGGTGGCCACTGACTTTGTTTTTTAACATGCTGGACATTTCAGCTTTTAATGCATACGTCATCTACACCCATGTGGATCCCTCCTGGAATGAGGGAAAGCAAGCCAGGAGGAGGCTTTTCCTTCACGACCTGGCAAGTGTTTTGACAGCCCCTGAGATAATGAGGAGACAAACCGTGCCTCGTACACCTCAATCTTTGGCCCTTGTGAAAGAGATGCAGGCTACTGCACATGGCTCTGCCGCTTTCCAGGCAGCGCACAGAGAGGAAGAGCTACCCCGCAACCTCCCTGAAGTGAAGAGGAAAACATGCAAGAGGTGCACAAACAGAACCATCGGCACTTGTGTGAGCTGCGGGCATCCGATTTGCAAACAACACAGAGCACCGATCTCCTGCCAGTCCTGCAACCAAAAATGAGCTCATCTCCTCCACATCCTCACAGCCGAAGGTAGCTGTTGTTCTGCTTAATTCCTCCAGCATTGAGTTTTTGCAACTTTGGTCTTGTTTTTAGTTCATTACATTTTGAGCAGAAATATTGTTGTGATCGAATGTTACAGACAGACAGACAGACAGACACACACACACACACTTGCTACTTTTGTTAATGCATTTTGAGAAATAAAATATGGTTGTGTTCCAATCTTATATTGTTTGTTTTTGTTTATGAGAGAATGTCTCGCACATTACTACCACCTGCTGTTAATGAAAGGGAATGCACTTATAGAATCACTTCATCAATGCAGTTTTTATGAAAATCTGATGTTACACAAAAATGTACCAAACATTCTGCTGTTTCTAATCCTCCACAGCTTCAGATTATGTTTTATGAACGAATAGGTCATTTTCCTTCCATTTTTTGCTATATTTGTGACTTTATGTCTTAAATTGGCACTTGAAGGGTTAAAAAAAAACTTATTTTTAATGAAACATTTGCTAGTTTTGAACAGGGTAGAAGTAAAATAAGAGATGAATGAAAAAAATCTGAAAAAAAAATGTATCCAATATGATTTTACAGCACCCAAATGTAGTGGCTTTTTTTGGCCACTGAGTGGAGCCAAATGGCTTTTATGAAATCTGATGCTACAGAAAAACTTTAATAGCCTCATAATCAATGATATTTCTAATCTCTGACATATTCAAGACTTTAATACTCTGCAAGAGATTACCAGTTTCTGATTATGTTTTATTTAAAAAAATGGGTCATTTTCCTTAAATCTATATCGTTTCTGTAGGTGAAAAGACCCCGTCAGATAATGCTTCCATGTAGATATATGCTTGTAGGACATTTTGGCAGGTGAAAAAAAACCATCAGGTTATGCTTTTATCTAACCTTGTTCTGTTACAATAAATTTTCATACTACAGCTAAGCTAAAGTAATGAAAATTTAAACTAAAGCAGATCCAACAAAAGAGAATCCAATTTAAGAGCCAAAACAGCAGCACATCACTCCAAGAGTGATGGACCTAACGCTGGTAGCGCCGCTACAAAAAAAGGGAAAAAGGATGCAGCGTTACACACCACCTGGGAATTACACACGAGGTACCATCAGCTGAGCAGAGCAGCAGGTAAACATGCAAAGAGCGGACAACATGCGAGCAGACATACCACAGCGGGCAAGTAGCTGGACACAGCAGGGCTCCAGCAGGCCACTCCCATCTCCCCCGGACCAAGCAGCCACGCGCATCTGCAAGGAGTTGAGATCATCACCACACTGCTTTTACGCACGACCCGAATAAACAGTGAGGGGACCGCACAGCGCTTACCGGGGTAAAAGATCTGTGTGCCTCTATGGCGGTCACAGACGGCCACACTGAATAAAGTTGCCACGCTGAACAACGGCTGAACGACACAGCCACAACCACCACGGGAGCAGACGAGGAGCGGAAGAGAGAGAGCGGGGCGCAGCCACACACCTGCTTTAGAGATGCACCAGGCACAGCCCAGCAATCAGCGGCTGGAAAACGGGCACGGTGCCAACCAGTGGCAAGGAGGAAAACAACCTCCGGCTACATATGTTCCAGGGATTGCATTCCAAGCTTTCTTAAGTTCATTAAAAAGAGACCGCTGATTCGTGGGACGCGTTTTTCCGACCGATCAATCCAATTCATCCCGCACAAGCTCAATTGAAGAAAGGTCTGGAGACTGAGGGGGCCAAACCATCTTTTGAAGAACACCAACCTCTTCTTTTTTGTCTAGGTAACCCTGACAGAGCTTGGCAGAATACTTAGGGTCATTGTCTTGCTGCCAAACAAACTTATGAGCCACAAGTCTGAGTCCTGATGGAACAGCATGGTGCTGGAGGATGGAGTGGTACAGTTCCTTTTTCATGATACCCTTTACTTCAAACAAATCTTCTATTCCATCACCTGCGAAATATTCCTATACCATGGAACTACCACCTTCATGCTGAATTGTGGGTGTAACACATGGTGCTTTCAGACGTTCACCAGTTTGTCTGCGGACATAGACTCTGTGTTTTAAACCAAACAGAGCAAACTTGTTTCAAGTCATCATAAGTCCAATTTTTGTGAGCTTTGGCCCACTCGTATCTCTTTTTCTTATTCTGTGGACAAAGTAGTGTTTTTTTGCAGATACAGAACCCTTCAGACCAGCCTTTCTCAAAAGTCTTTTCACAGTTGTCAGAGATATGGGTTTTGACCTTGTTTTCCTCCCTTATTTGTGGTGCTGTCTTTCGCCGATCTCTCTTACTGGTGACAATGCTATGTTTATCCTCTGCTTTTGAAGTAACTTTCTTTCGTCCAGGCCTTTTTCTATCATCATAACTTCCAGGTTCCTCTAGACTCTTCAGAGTGTAGTGGACTCCTTTGTTAACCACCTTTCGGCATTTTGCAATTTCTCTTTCTGTGAATCCTTCTTTCCTCAATGTATGAATTTGTACTTTTGTTTCTTTACTCAGTTGCTTCTTTCTAGCCATTTTTGCGGTAGTTTGAATGCAGTTGAGATTTATTAGGATTTTTGTATGCAGACTCTCAAAAGCCAAAAAGTTGAAGTGAATAATCCAACTGTGATTTGTTTTTTTGCTTTTGCACTGAAGTTGTAACTCTTGCAAATGTTTTCAACCCTAAAAGTAAGCCCTTATTTTCTTTTGCTGACATATATTTAGCAATGATCTGTTAACATCAATGTATATCTAAAGGTAAATGGAGTAAAATGGTGCATTTCCACGAAAAGCAACATCTGATCATGGAGTAAATACATCCCAAAATACATAAAACTCATGCTGGATTTAAAAAAAAAAGCATTGTGAACAAAATCTTGAAGTTACTCCCAACTGTTCGGCCTGTAATGGCCTTGCTTCCAAACTTTTGGCCTGTAGTGTATATCACATTGATTTTGTTCATTCATTTATACTACCTTCTACCCTACCTTTTACCTATAACGGCAACACCACCTCATCAATGGTGAGGCATTCACAGGGTTACAGCATATCCTTAAAATCTCTTTAAAGACTCTTAAATTTGACATTTAAAAATAAATTATATTAAAATAAATAAATTAAATAAAAATAAATTATATTTTTTTGTGTGTTAAAGGCATGGTTGATGATCTGAGAAGCAGTTGAAAAAAAATGCTTACGGCTGGCTTCAAGTCATGGTGAGAGACGCATAAATCAGGGCTCTCAAGTTTTCAACTAAGCTTAGAGTATTAGAGTATTAGAGTATGAGAGCCACATTAAGAAAAAAAAAATCTTAGAGAATAAAGTTATTATTTAGGAGGATAAAGTCATTAATATATAAGAATAAAGTCTTAAAGTTACCTGTTGTGGAGGAGAGTTGTTAAAATCAGCACTGTGGAGCATTTAGATGAATTGTACTTCAGTATAGGTTTCACAAACATGGAGATACTTCCTGGAGATAATCCTTTGGTACATCAGCATTACACTGTCATGAGTATCAGAACTTTAAAAAGAATATATGAGAAATGCTGCTTTTGTGGAGGGGAAAATGGCTGGAAATGGCTGTACAGAGGCTAAATTCATCAATACAGCTGTTAAAAGCAATAGCATAGGGCTTTAGTTTATCATGAGTTTATATGCCATGAGGTGTTTAGGTCTCTGCATGTGTAGGTTACTGACTTACTGTAATCATTGGGTCTATCTCGTCCTTATAAAAACCTGCTCTATTTCCGCAAGTGTCTGTTTTCTTCTGTAGTCAAACTGCAAGATATCAAAATCTACCCGGATACAGCAATGCTGCTTTTTGATTGGCTGTTCAGTAGATATACTTCATTTGATTGGCTTGCGCGTGGCACGCAGCTTCTGAACTCTCGGAGGAACTCAGTTGATTCCTACCTGTTCCATAGTTAAAGAGGTGCAACTTTGTGGACATCACCATGTTCATTTAAATGCGTGAGAAATACAATGTGTGAGCGTGTGAACGGGTGGTAATGCGTGTGTCACACGCTGAATGCGTGAGACTTGAGAGCCCTGATAAATTGCGCGACACAATGAATTGATAATTAAATTTGTTGGCAACACTTTCAATAATCGATTTTTATCAATTTTATTGATTCATTGTGGCAGCTCTAATTTGTTCATTCTTTTTAGGTGATGGTCTGTAGGATTTGCTGGACAGACATATGGTGGAGAGGCAGATGAGGAATGTTGCTACAAACAACAAAGTTGAAGTCCAGAAGTACATGGCAAACCCTTTTAATTCTCCTAACCAAGGATCTACTCCACTTGGGCAATAAGAAAGACAGGGTATTTTCACCTGCCGAAACATCGTACCTGTTTATATCTACATGGAAGCATAATATGACAGGGTTTTTTTATCTGCTGAAACATCCTACTTGTTTATATCTATGTGGAAGCATAATTTGATGGGGTTTTTCCACCCACTGAAACATCCTAACCAGCACATTAATGCTCATGTCTGCATCACATGTCAAAGCACAAGCTGAAACATGGTAATGCACTTGCTTTTAATGGGTAGTTTAATTAGCTCGTTTACCCACCATAAGTAACCGATTCAAACTTCACTTAGCCATGACTATATTAGCTTTATAGCTCATGTCTGCATCATATGTCAAAGCGCTAGCTTGAACAGGGCAATGCAATAGTTTATCGTTGGTGGTTCAAATCGCTCATTTAGCTGCATGAACAGTCATAGTCCATACTGTTATACGCAAAAATGTGTGGACAAAGGCTGTGTGCTCACTGTGGTTTATTCACATCAGCGGCCATTCTTGTATCTCAGTACAGAACATACTTTGTGGCAGTGACGTCACACTGTCGTGACTTCAGGTACTGTGACTTAGGGTCACATAGCACATTTGGACCCAGTCTGAAACTGCTAGTATGGGCCAGGCAGTGTCGGACTGGTGCCATCTCACCTGACGCACCCTTTCGCAGCGCTGCTTCATACGGTGTTGCCCTCCAGTTTCTGTGTCACTGG